AAAAAAAAAAAAAAAAAAAAAAGGCAGTTCATGGAGTTAAATTTTATAATATGCCTACATACAGAAAAAATGTAATACAACAAACAAAAGAATTCCCCAACACCCGGTCGGGTCAACCCGATTAACCCAACCCCTAAACATTATTCTTATTCTTTTTGTTTTATTAAAATATTGTTTTCTTTCAAAAATAAAAATTATGTATATAGATTTATATGGTAAATATTTATAGGATACAATATTATTAACACTTTGATTTACAAATACTATAAACAAAATATTTAATTTTGTTACTTCTATGTAGGATTGGTATTTTTTTATCAAAACAGAAAATCGTACCAAACCGAACTGAACGAGAAAATAAACCGAATCACTTGTAACGGTAACCGATTATCGTTACCGAATTGCTATCGGTTCGCTAATGATTTTGAACCCATAAAATCAGACTGAACCGACAAGGGTAAAAAATAAAATAAGGCTTAGTTGTTTAATGTTTAATGTTTAAAAATTAAAATAAGAGCTCAACCCTACCTAGCCCCAAACTGATGAGCCTTCTCACTCGAACATCTTCGGTTTACCATGCTAAGTCTCAGTCCTTCTGAAGGAACATGCTACCATTACTACCATTATTGTAGTAAATTCTCGTACCACTGTTACTAGATAAGTTCATTGAAGTTGCATCACAAATTTTATTTCTTGCCTATTCAACAATAGATTGTTCTATTAGTCGCATTTAACACAAAATTCAAAATATAATTATATTTAAACTGACTTCTATACATTAAATGTAAGCTCTTTAATCCTGCAGTGGATCTGTGAGTCTTGTGTGTATATATATGGTAACCAGTGAGAAAAGTGCGAGACAAGAAAAGTAAGCAATAACTGTTTTTATTTATTTATTTATTTATTTTATAACCGACTACAAGTCAATTCGGTTTCAATTTTGCATTTTGGGGTTACCGACACAATTAGAGGGCACGCACTTGAAGATTCAAGTCGAATAAAAGCGTGACGAAGATGATACCGCGCCAAAATGAAATGACGAGTGAAGCAATGGTAAACGAAGTAATGGCGTCCTACAAAGGTTTTTATAAGTTGAGGAGAGAGGCAATCTGACCATTGGAGGGCACGCACATCAAGGGCCTAGATCTACGTGTAGAATATGATACGACGTGCGCATGTGTGCGTGGGACATGTCGAAGGATTGGGATCTAAGCAGGTAGGGTCTCTCTTTTGGCGTCTCACATTCTCCGAGGCTGTCGGATGGCGCATTAATGCAAAAGTAGAACAGATACATAGGCTCAATGGAAAGTTACATTTCAGTACAAGTCTCGGCAGCTCGTCCTTAAATGAGGGAGCTAGATGATGTAGTATTCAGAATAGCTCGGCAGACGAGCTTGAGCGGTTAGCTTGAGTAGGCCGATCCAGGAGAGCTCTCTAGAGATAAATAATCAAGTCAAGTAGCTCGTATTCGAGCTACAGTATTGGCCGACCTAAAGAAGACGACCTGGAGGCCTCGACCTCTAGGATTTCAGGAAAGTTGACCGAAAGGTATTGGGTCGTAAGAAGGTTCGACCTTAGAAAGAGGTCAGGCTCGACCTCGGTAAGTCGGTCAGAAGGTCGTAGTTACGACTTAGGGACCTAAGGACTGCATAGTAAGGTGAAAAGAATCTTAGTAAGAGGTAAAGTACCACTTGCTTAGGAGTCTTGCCCAGGTAGAGACGTGGTAAGTTAGGAAATGTGACATAGTGGGATCTCTTCTCGAACAAGGACTTGAGGTTTTCCGCTGGGACCCTCTCCCGACATTTTGTAGGTCACCGGAGCTCGAAAAAGAAAGAAGTACACTGAACAAAAGTTTGGGGTTGACTTGCAATGAAAAGATGTTTAGTGGCCAAATGCGGGAAAAGGAAAAATGTTCATGGAGTTAAATTGTAAATCTGTAATATGCCTTTCACACACGAAAAATGTATTACAACAAACAAATGAAATTCTCCAACAGACAGGGATTTCATGACGCATTGGTACAATTATATGAGCATAATTCCAGGTACACAAAACAAACACCATAGAAAGCCGATTCTTCAATGCACTATGTGTAAGTCATCTCACGTGTTACATTTACAAATTATCATAGCGAAAACAGGCAGATTTTGCGTAGAACGAATCAAATTGGCATGAAGTCCAGAAATATTCTTTAAAGTTTGTCAATTATCATGCGCTTGGATCTGTAAAGTGAACTTGCTCTCCAAGGGCCCAATTATAGTAATGCTAAAAAGATCTAGTTTACGATGATATGTAAGCCAACAATAGACACCGGAGAATGAAACCTTTGAGATTTTCTAAACTAAATTTAGATTAAATGCAATCACTTTCAAAAATCTAACAAATGTTCAAAATAAGCACCACTAGAAAGTAGGCAGTAGTCGGCATATGCTTTAAATTTCTTTTTTTTTGCTTTTATCCAATCCCTTTGGAAACATAAAACTATAATTCATAACTCATATCATAAAAAGAGAACGGTGATCGGACACACAGTATTAGAAAGGCAAGGTAAATAATTAGAGAGAGAGAAAGGGCTTTTCACATACTTTCCAGGTGCTGTCAACTTCAGGAAACATGTCTGCGTCGGTCTTTCCAGTACCTAAAACAGTGACAACGGAATATGCTTCTTCACATTTTAAGAGGAAAATGTCAAAGACATATAATTTAATCATAATCAAGAAATAACTACCATGTATTGCCTGGCAAAGTTATTCATACAAATTTTCCCATTTTCAAAATCTTTAGCAATCCATACTTGTGGATGACAAGAGATTGGAAACATAACTAGCACAAATGTCACATATGCATGATGATGCGTGTGGATAACATGCCACAAAATGACAAACATGTAACTCAAAAGTTCTCCATAATAACAGAGAAGGAATGATCTAGAAAATAAGTAAATCACCAGGAAAGAAAGAAGGGATAAAACCTGAGATGGAGTCTAGTGCTAATAAATCGTAGTCTGACACAAGACCAACCTGCAGATTAACGGCTCATACTGCTTTAGAATCAAATAACAAATAAACTTAACGACGTTAAAAAGGAAATATTAAAAGGCATGTCTCTGTGATACAGCAAATTGACTCACTCAGCATGCAATACATTATCAGTTACGGCATGGAAATCTAAACGAAACAGAAGCCTATGGGAAAATATACACTCACTCCAGCTCTCATCTTCTTAACACATTTCTTAACCAGCAATACCACCAGTCGCTAAAAGAATCCAAATGCCTAAGCCATTATTTGCGAATGCACGGCAGATCATACAAGAACAGTTAATCCAACAATAACGTAAAATAAAAATACTAAAGGTAAATATTTACCCTAAACATTATTATCTGATTGACAGCTTCTAATTCCTGTACAAGGAAAACACACACCCACACACAGACACACACACACACAGAAGGAAAGCTTACCAACTTCCAGTCATCATCAATCACAGGAAAACCAGTTATTCGGTTTGCTACAAGCATTTCCAAAGCTGTTCCAGATAACAAAATAAATTAAACAGAAAAAACTCGCAGACAATGAAAAAAAAAAAAAAAAAAAAAAAAAAAAAAAAAAAAAGAAACCTTCATCAACAGTTGTGGTGGACTTGACAACATGCAAATCCTCTTTCTTCGTCATAAAATCGCCCACCGTGAATACCCCATTCTTTGGTTTTCCATAAAATCACGAAATTGGTTAGAAAAGAAAACTTACAAAGTTAAAAAAAAAGGAAGATAAAGGATAAAGAAGCATTACAGAAGCAGCGTTGGCAAGTAGCCCGGAGGCCGCGGCGACCACGACCGGCCCAGGGGCCGAAACTCGATAAGGTGCATAAAGAAAGCTGGAGACGGAGTGTGTATTCGGGCTGGGCCAGCTTGAGGCGCGGCATTGGATCGGACTTCTGGGTCGCGCCAAGACTGATGTACGGTGTCGAATAGAGAAGGAAGGAAACTCCAGAGCAGATAACGAGGCCATTTTGGTAAATTTCTGTGCAATTAATTTGGGGGGTCGCCGGAGTTGTTGTTGACGACGGAGTAATGGGAGGGGCTCCGGCGAAAACCACCCAAACCCTTTTACTTGGGGAGTAGAAGGCAATTGGTTGGCTGACTTTTGGGCCTTGGGGTTGCAATTTGCAAAGTGAACATAAATTTTTTTTTTTTTTTTTTTTTTTTTTTTTTCTAGATGATTCTCATTAGAATGAAATGTTTTACAAACCAAACCGAGAGGCCAACTAGCCCCAATACAAACTAGGACTTACTGAGGGTCACTAATCTAGTGCCCTAGAACCAACCTACAAACAAACTAAGTAAAGAAACATGATCAAAACTTAAGCTAAACAACAACATAACAGCAAGAATACTACACAACTTCAAGCAGCTTTCTTAGCAGAACTTTGAAGCTAGAATAGAATACATAGACATAGCCCAATGAAAACCACCAAACCCAATTTGTACAGTTACAAGAGAAAGGTACCACTGAACCACCCGGACCTATTATCAGTTCACCTTGCAACCACCAGCATATTAGTATCTAGCAGCACTGAACTCAGCCCAATCCCTCCAAGTTGAGCTAACCGCCCACCTTCTCTGGCATAAACATGTTTTGAAATTTCTATAAGTCTTTGGCAAGGGGTAATGGTCTTTAGGGCACGCTTTATTCAAATCCCTGAAATCTATGCACATTCACCATTTCCCCTCTCCTTTGCGTACCATTACTAAATTTGACAGCCACTCGGGGAATTGGATAGGTTGTACGTGCCCAGCTTTTAGCAATTTCTGCACCTCGGCCTCTATTATCTCATCGAATTCGTCGCCGAAGTGTCGCCTTTTCTTCTTTACCGGGCGCACCGTATGATCTATGTTCAAACAATGCTCCACTATCTCTGGCTTTATACCACTGAGGTCATCTGCTGAAAAGGCAAAGACATCAACAAATTCTCGAAACATAAGTATCAAGCCCTGTGTCAAGCCCTCTTCCATATGACAACCTACTTTGGTGGTTTTATTTATCGTTCCTTCAACCAGTTCCACCTTCATCAGCTCGTCCGGGGAGCTCAGCCCCAGCTTCTGCTGCTTGCGTTAGTGCGATGACTCAGGGGAGTCGTGCTTTTGCCTCTTATTCTGGGCTTCTGTTGCCTTCAACGTTACCTCGTAGCAGCGTCGAGCTTGCAGCTGATCCCCTGTGACTTCCCCCACCTTGTCTCCCACAAGAAACTTTACCTTCATATACCAAGTATAAACAGCCGCTTGAAAGTAGTTTAAATTAAGCCGTCCCAGAATAATGTTGTAGGCCGAGATTGCATCGACTACCAAAAACCTAACCATCTTCACTCTCCTTACGAGGGCCCTTCCCAATGCCACTGTTAAGCTGATCTTTCCCATTGGCCTGACTTCACTCCCACTAAAACCGTATAGGCTGGTATGTACTGACTCCATTTTTACCTCCAGATCCATCTGCTGTAAACATCTCCAAAAGATGATATTCGACGAGCTCCCCGTGTCGATATGAACCCTTTGAACATCATAGCCGGCACCTCAACCGTAATCACAAAAGCGTCGCTATGCTGGACGACGATCCCCCACACATCCTGCGCCCCAAAACTCAAGACGGTCGAGCTCTCTTGTACCTTGACCTCGAACACCTCGTTAGCAGCGTTCTTTCCCCTATAAGTCCTTTTGCGCTCTCGGTGGGAGTTCCCATCAGTGGGTCCTCCTGCAATCATGTGAATTATCCCCTTTTTTATCGGTCTGTCAGGTTTCTCGTTTGTTCTCTTCCACTTATCTCCCGACTCACGTCCGTCTAAACGCTCTTCCTTTCGCTCGCTATCTCTTATCACAAATTTCTTCCAATGTCCAGCCCAGATGAGGCGTTGAATTTCATCCTTCAGTTCCCGGCAAAGGTTAGTGGAATGGCCATAATCACGATGATATCGGCAATATTTATCCCTTCCCGCTGAGAATTTCCGAGGTGGAGCCAAAGGCATGAGTGGTTCTAGTAACTTAGTTTTCCCCATCTAGCCCATTACTTCAAAAACCTCCTACTACGGGGCGTTCAGAGGCTTGCAGTGATCATACTTTGGCCCTTTGAACCGTTCATCGACCTTCACCTCCTTCTGGGAAGCTCGTCGTTCTACCGATCGAGACTTTTCCTCTGTCTGCTTTGCTTTCCCTTTATCACTCTGAAGGAAGTCTGCATCAGCTTCCTCCATATTGACATACTTGTTGCACCTCTCCAAGAGCTTGTCAAATGACCTAGTTGGTCGCTTTACCAAGGAATCCCTGAACTTTTCTTCCCTCAAGCCAAGTATAAGCCCCCGACCTTTATTTCCTCCGAGGCCCTAGGAACTTTCACGCATTCCTTAGTATATCGTGCCACATATTGTCGCAAAGTCTCGTCGTCCTTCTGTTGCATGTTGATCAGCGACAAATACGTCTTCTCGTGCTTCCTCTCACTCGCAAACTAGTTAAAAAACAACATACTAAACTGCTCGAAACTATCAACGGCACCAGGTGGAACCAATCCTGTGTCGAGCCCTTTAGAGTTCTACGAAAGGCCCTGCAACTGACTGCGTCGCTATATCGGTGCAAAACTGCTATATTATCAAATGAACTTAGGTGCCGAGCAAGATCTGCCGACCCATCATAAGATGGGCTAAGTTCTCTGAAGTTGCTCGGATGGTCACCGCCCAATACATCTTTCGCAAAAGGGATGACCCCGCGATATCGTCACTCTCTTCCCCTGTATGCGGGGCCTGCATCTCGCGCATCTACTATGCTAGCATTTCTAGGGTCAGCCCTCCTGTTGTGCTGCTCCTAAGGGGTGAGATGTTGTCGACCTATCAGTGTCCCCGTCCCCCCTCTCACGCCGATGAGTTTGATGCGCCTGATGGGGGGGTACAAGGACAATTGCTTAGGCGTGGTTGCTTGAGCGGCTCAATTCTTCGGTCAACCTCTTGAGCTCGCCCTATTGCTTCAGCTATAATCTTGTCCAACTCCGCCCTTGTCATATGTATGGTTTGATCTGCCACCACTGCCGGAGGATTCTCTGGGTTATCATTCCCCCCTGCCACGACATTTGTTGACTATTTGCAGGATCTGCTTGGTTGTTTACACCCGGCGCTTGGCCGCCTAGGCCAGTTCTATCCCCAGTCAAGTTGACGACCTCCTTACCCTTGTCACACTTACTCCCATGCGTTTGGTTCGCCACCGGACCATGAGCTTCCGGTGTCGGGGTTATGGTTGTGCTAGGCACCTGTAATGTCTCATTTGGTGTGGCATGGACTGCGACCATCCCAGCGGCGGCCCTGTCCTATACGCCCTTCCAATCCATGCCTCATCCAACTCTTTTGTCAAAGTCTTCTTCGGGTTATCCGCCATTATTTCCCAATAACGAACTTCTATAAGATTTCGAAGAAAAAATCAGCCGCTTATTCCGAGTATAAGCCGAATCTATTCCCACTGACGGCCCCAATTTGTTACACCACAAATTCGTGAACTACTCAACCGTTCCACCCTTTCACTAGATAGAATCTGCTCGATCGCCGGTATCTGCAAAACACGTCGGGGTGGTCCCGACATAAAATCTCTGACGCTCAAGTTAGTAGGGTTTTTAGGAGAGACGATGAGGTATTTTAAAATATGCGTGTGTGTGCTAGTTTAGAGAATGAAGGAACATGCTCCTTGTATAGGCCCAAGAGTCCCTGCATTATGGAACTTTAGACCTAGTAGAATCCTCCTCCTATCCATCTCCACAAGATAACCCGTGATAGTCTTACACCTACTCAATCTCTGAATAGGCCCCGAACATCCTGCCACACAGACACCAGCTCGGCGTTCCTGCCAACAGCGGCCCAACTTCTTCTTGGTTCTGCCGAGCTGTTCCTGGGAGGTTTCATAATGATCTCTCCGATAGCTCTATTTTGATAATCAGTCGTCTTCCTCAATGCGGCGTGCCGAGCTCACCCACACCCTCTTGATGAAGCTACCGCTACTATTAGCTCGTCAAGGGTTGTAGATTAGCTCGGCCGATCGAACTATTATGACCCTGTCGAGCCGTATATTGAATGCTACATCAATGTACATTTAGGGGTGAGTAAAACCGAGCTGAAACCGAAAATCTAACCAAAACCGAGCAATTCCGTGTGTTAACATCCGGATCGGTAAACCTGCATTAAGAGATTCCAGACGACACATTAGAAGGAAGATGATCATTAAACCGACGTTATTACAAACACCACCCCGGTTCAGGCGAAAAACCGGACCGAACTACCGAAGACCAAAGTGATCAACGACTACCGAGGTCAACATCAACCGAGATCAACGTGAACCGAAGTCATCACCTCCTTAAGCAGGTGACAAGGTGCCTACGTGTGACTCTCCTGCTCCACAAGATCTGTCATCATTTATGTTGGACCCCCTGCCTCAAACCGCCCACAAAAAGTCACTTTATTCGAAAAAGCAATGCACGGATCCCCATGTATCAACCCGAGATTACTATAAATAGCGAACCCATGACATTTGTACGGGGATCTCTCTGCGAACTGAAAAAACTTTACTAAGCAACACGTAAAAGCCCATCACGGCTCTTCACCTCGGTTCACCTCGGACCGAGGCCATTGTTGATTTAATCTTACATGCTTTACGACCAAATCATTCGAAATTATTCACTTAATCACAAGTTACATCGTTGTTAAAACTCACATAACAACAGTTTGGCGCTAGAAGGAGGGCCTCATAAGTGATTTGAGGTTAATCTCCGCGTTTTCACGTAACGGTGCATATCAGCCGTATCCACCATGTCTCACTCAGATCATCGTGGTCACACGTCACGAGACGGCCACAGTCGTAGCGCCGGGCAATCTGCTAGACGACAAGCCGTGGCTCCACCTACACCGGATTATGCTGTTCTGTTTCAAAATCCGGAATTTGCACGTGGTTTTGCCGCTTTAATGGCCCAAACGATGCCGGGAACATCAA